GTTTCTGTTGCCTCAAGTCTCTTCTTCATCTGTGAGGAGATTGTCCAGCATTTTTTGCCATATAGAAGGACTGATATTATATAACCGTTCTGCACCCTTTTCTTTGTTTCTGTTGCCTCAAATCTCTTCTTCATCTGTGAGGAGATTGTCCAGCATTCACTGCCATATAGGAGGACTGATATTATATAACCGTTCATCACACTTTTCTTTGTTTCTGTTGCCTCAAGTCTCTTCTTCATCTGTGAGGAGATTGTCCAGCATTTACTGCCATATAGGAGGACTGATATTATATAACCGTTCTGCACCCTTTTCTTTGTTTCTGTTGCCTCAAGTCTCTTCTTCATCTGTGAGGAGATTGTCCAGCATTCACTGCCATATAGGAGGACTGATATTATATAACCGTTCTGCACCCTTTTCTTTGTTTCTGTTGCCTCAAATCTCTTCTTCATCTGTGAGGAGATTGTCCAGCATTCACTGCCATATAGGAGGACTGATATTATATAACCGTTCATCACCCTTTTCTTTGTTTCTGTTGCCTCAAGTCTCTTCTTAATCTGTGAGGAGATTGTCCAGCATTTACTGCCATATAGGAGCACTGATATTATATAACCGTTCTGCACCCTTTTCTTTGTTTCAATTGCCTCAAGTCTCTTCTTCATCTGTGAGGAGATTGTCCAGCATTCACTGCCATATAGGAGGACTGATATTATATAACCGTTCTGCACCCTTTTCTTTGTTTCTGTTGCCTCAAATCTCTTCTTAATGTGTGAGGAGTTTCTTTGTCATCTGTGTGGAAAATATCACGTTGTAAGGCAATAAAGCCGCTGAGACCAATAGGGGGTTACTGAGTGTTGAGAAAAAGATCAAATTACTATTAAGGAGAGAGAACAATAAATACAGGAATGAAGAAGACAGAAGATAACGACTGAGATAGCATTTAAATTTTTAAAGATTAATGTTCACTGGAAAACAAGAAGCCGAAAGATAGTTCCACAAGTCAGAAGTCAGAGAGTGAAAAAAATTGTTAGCATATAACTTGAGGTAGCCTTCAAAATCTAATCTAATCTTATATCTCACTTTCAAAGGAAGTGACCTAGTCACAAATCTAGTCAGTTAGTTATGTGCCATGCGTGATACAATCGTAGGCGATCTTTCGATACATGACTGACGAGGCAGTTTTTTTTTCCCGCAGTATGTTCCCATTTATTTCCAGTTGCCATCCAAGGCTATAGAACCCAGTCTGTCCTGCTATTTACCCATAGCTGGAGGGAGAAGAAGAGGATTCATACCTTTCCCAAGGGTATTACCACGTAAGTGAATGTAATGGATTCGACTGGAATTTGAACTCGGTTCTCGAATTTCTCAATCCGAGCCGCTATCCATTACTCCACCGTGCCTCCCTAGTACTTCGCTTAAATTCATAAATTCTACGTATCATAGAAGAACGTACATCAGACCAATTATCATGAAGGTATTCATAGAAAAGACGCAGGAAAGATACACTGCGGTGATGGAAAAGTGCCTGAAGTCCGGATGCCAGGTCCTGACCAACAACATTGCAGATACTTCTTTGGATATTATCAAGAATTTCTAAATGTATAGGAAGTGCACTAAATCAGAGGTGGCAGTTAGATTCCAGGCGTGGACGAATGGTAGACTCTATGAATATGTAAGATAGATTTTGGCGTTGAAAATTGTCTAACGCGATACAGACAACGAACTGCCCTAGCAGCAGACGGAGCAATTGATTCAACATAACGTTTCTACTTCATGTCAGCAGATAATTTTAGCCCGAGTACGCACAACGAGTCACTCCCAATGGATGTTAGGATAAGTCATGCCAATGGGAGGCAGAATAGCCTCTCTCCGATGATGACATATGACAGCAGAACTTACAGAAGTTAGTAATTCTTTGGCTCCCTATTACGAAAAAGAACCACTTTTATTTAGACTGACCACGATCTGCAAATGTCTGCGTGTAATTAAACGAGAATTTGGATATATGCTAAGTAATAGTTTAGCATACTATTACTTTTAGGCGAAATCTCGGCTCCGACTTCTGGAGGTTGACATTCGGGGTCAGATGTAAGCCATAATAAGGAAGTCGATTTTGATTCAGTGAACCAGCCTGGGAAAGAGTTAAGGGAAAGGTTTCAACGTGGTGATTCTTAAGCGATGTAGAAGTGCTCTCTTTCGTGTCGGAAATGGCTCCTCAGCAGTGGATGTGGGTTTGACATATTGTTAAATAATAGTTTAGCAGACTATTAGTTTAGGAGAAAGTGTATCTTGGCTCCAACTTCTGGGGGTTGACATTCGGGGTCAGATGTAAGCCATAATAAGGAAGTCGATTTTGACTGTCTGAGCAAAAGAAGTGCGTGAAATACCTGACGAGCTTGAGCAGGTTGATGGCAGAACGTGGTCTGGGGGAGGAAGCAGAGGGAAGAAAATTGCTGAGAGCTGCAAGGGATAGGATGAGGCGGAGAGACATGATCGCCTACGCCCTGAAAGAACATGGCACATAAAAAGAAAAAGAAAGATTGACAAAATGACACCTCTTCTGACCCTGTCACAATTTCCTCGCAGATGAAGAGAAGACTTGTAGCAACATCCATTTTGTTCTACAGAAGGCTGCTGGGAACACTCTGGATTACACATGTAAGTAACGAGTATGCTTTAACGGAAAATGAAAACAAATAAGACGCTTATACTTATCATACGAAAGTGAAAGTCGATATTTCTTGCACATAATGAGGAAAGAAAGCTTGGAAAATTTGACATTCACAGGGCGCATTAAAGACAGAAGTAGAGAATGCATTATACGAGGAAAGATAAAAAGTAGGTTTATTTTGTAACATCCAGTAAACCTTTCTTAGATCTACAAAGTATAGGAAGTTGTGGAGAGCCATGATCACTTACGACTTAAAGGGAGACGGCACGTAGATATAGAAAATACATTAAATGAGGCAAGATAAAGGGTAGGTTTATTTTTATTAATTTGGAGCAAAACAATGCTAAGAGCTACATAAGAAGGAAGTTGTGGAGAGCCATGATCACCCACGTCTTAAAGGGACTCATTACGTAGAAGAAATAGAAAAATGCATTAAATGAGACGAGAGAAGGTTTTGCTTTTAATAGGTACTGTTGATAGTTTTATTATAAATATCTATTGCTGGTTGGTTGATTTTGTTTAGCGGCATGTCAACACCTATGTGGGTTATTTAATTCTGAAATCTAAATATTTTGGACACAATCTTATGGCTTCAGCTAAATATATTTTGAACGCAATTGCATGCCTTCAACTACAGTTAAAATGTATTGTTGGTCATTTTGAGTAAATAGCTATTGTTGGTAAATTTGCTATAAATATCTATTGTTGTTTGGTTGTTTTTATTTAGCGGCATAGCAACACCTCTAGGGGTTATTTAATGCCGAAAACTAAATATTTTGGACACAGTTTTATGGCCTCAGTTAAATATATTTTGAACGCAATTGTATGCCTACAGATAAAATGTATTGTTAGTAATTCTATTATATGTATTGGTGGTTATTTTGCCTTAAAATGTATTGTTGGACATTTTGCCTTAAAATGTATTGTTGGTCATTTTGCCGTAAAATGTATTGTTGGACATTTTGCCTTAAAATGTATTGTTGGTCATTTTGCCATAAAATGTATTGTTGGACATTTTGCCTTAAAATGTATTGTTGGTCATTTTGCCTTAAAATGTATTGTTGGTCATTTTCCTTTAAAATGTATTGTTGGTCATTTTGCCTTAAAATATATTGTTAGACATTTTGCTTTGAAATGTATTGTTGGTCATTTTGCCTTAAAATGTATTGCTGGCAAGCTTTCTATAAATAGATATTGTTGCCAATATATTTAATATAAAAATGTATTGCGGGTATATCCACTATAGAAATGTATTTTATACTTTCACAGTGTCTTGTTATTAATTGGGATTTCTTTGTTAACCGATAGCTGGGACCTTAACAGGTGCTACCACCCCAGGTCTGATTGGCCTCAGAATAACAGCACTTATAAGTTAGTTCCTCGCTTCTCAAATCCTCCAATCTCCCGATCAGAGGCCTTGCTGTCGGATGTAGTTCATGCCCAGATCTTGAGAGGGATTATAGTAGCGAATGTGAGGGGCTTGTAGGGCGGGAAACAATTCATCGCCGACAAGGCCGCGTAAACTATGTTTTTGTTGTTGGGACATGATTGAAATGATAGGATTCGATAGATCTTGTTCTGGATCCTTAACAAGCACTCGCCATGTGACATTTCAGCGCAGAGCTGATAAAGTAAAAGAAAAAAAGAACTAAAAAAAAAAAAAATTATTAAACCGACAGAAAGAAAATCAATGTTAGGAATAATTATTTCTTTTTCTGATTCATTTTATTTATTTATTTTTTAATTAAAGTCAGTTTAACGAACCTCCTACAGATGCTCGAACTCAAGATGAGAACAGATGACAGGGTGAGGCGCATGGACGCGCGCGCGCATTCGGAAGAGGAATTCGTCAGGCGACCGGGTGCAGAGGATGTAATGCTTCCTGTACCCTCTTACCTTCTTGCAGAATCTCAGAACTGGTTAGGGCGTAAAAATTAGAGGCGAATGAGATGTTTACAGCCGTCTTAATGGTGGCCCCAGGGCAGGGGTTTCTTAAGTAAATGGAACTGATAGGAAACAGTGAGAAAAAAAAAGAAAGAAAAGAAGAAAGATAATTCTAAAAGGACAAGCGAAACGGGATGATAGCCTAAATCTCATTAAGGTAGCCAGGCAGAAAAAGACACAAAAAAGGACTTTGATATCTGCTTGTTTAGAGTGTACTGATATATATATATATATATATATATATATATATATATATATATATATATATGTATGTATGTATGTATCGGGCTTTTGATATCTGGTTAATGAACATGTTTATGAATACATATATATATATATATATATATATATATATATATATATATATGGAGAGATGTATTTTTCCCACCTCCTAAATATGGCGAGATAGATAGATAGATAAATAGATAGATAGATGTGTTGTCTCAGATAGATAAAGAGAGAGAGATAAATAATCATATATGTGTACCTGCGCGTTTATATATAATTTTATATACACATACATATATCATGATGTGTATGTTTCTTAGAGTATATGGGATTGATGTCGATTGGTTTAATAATTGTGGGGGGGGAGACACACAGATGTACGTCATTAGCTGAATGTATATATATATATATATATATATATATATATATATATATATATGAAGCCTTTTGATATCTACTTCATCTATGTGTTTATGATAATACATACATATATATATATATATATATATATATATATATATATATATATATATATATACATAAAATGAGTGAGAGAAAGTCGGAGAAAGTGTCCTATAAATGCTAATGTAAGCATGTGTATATTTATATATAATTATATATACATAAACAAATACATACATACATATATATATATATATATATATATATATATATATATCAGTGTTTGTATCTATTTCAGAGCATGCAAGGAATTATGTTAATTAATATTTGTGGGAAGAAACACACGGGGACTCTCATATGTGTGGATTTTCAAAACACCATCAGTAATATATGGACTATCAGTGGTGCATAAATATATATATATATATATATATATATATATATATATATATATATATATATATATATATATATATATATATATATATATATATATATATGTATATATATATATATATATATATATATATATATATATACATATACATATATATATATATATATATATATATATATATATATATATATATATATATATATATATATATACTTCAAATGATTTTTATTATGGATACTCGTACTTAAAATATACTCCAAATTTTATTTTTGATATATACCGTGGCTATTACGTCTATCAAGTTGCTATTCAACAAATACTAACAAAAAAGATGTTCGGGGACATTACTTTTTCTTTTTTAATACCCCCTAAATGCTCTTAATACAAACTGTTTTAATCGAAAATAAAAATGGGGAGACTACTTCGAATACAAGTATCCATTAGAATAACATCTGAAGTAATTAAAAAGTCGCATTAAAATAAATCCATAAATCCATTACTTAAAAAATATATATATATATATATATATATATATATATATATATATATATATATATTTTTTTGAGTTTATAAAAATGCGTGTCGATAATCATACGCTCCAGGATAATGATTTAGAAATGTTATGGTTGAATTATGATGTTTCTTCTTTCATAATAAATATTGTTTAAAAACGCCTGATAATTATGCACCAACATGGGATTAATATGAGTAAAATTTGTCACTTTGTTGATTGATGTTACCTCTCCGTCCACTCTTCATGGTGTATTAGCAATTTACTGCTTATATATATATATATATTACTGCTTAATACATATATAAATTTAAATAAAAATAAAATAAATTTAAATAAAATAAAAGTGTTTGTCTATATTTCTGAGGTGAGATATTATGTACATTATGTACATTATTCGGACTATTGACCTCATCTTTTTCGCCATATTTATGACAACGTTTCGCCCGTTGTTCGCCCCGGCCTTCTTTCTGTTTTTACCCGAGTTCATATAGCAACTTTGTTGTTATTATCGCTTTTCTCTGGCACTCCTTATTACTGGTTCCCATATTGTATTTATTTCTATGCTTGGCCGGCTCAGGAGATTTTTTTTGGCCTAGTATATATGCTGATTCCTTAAGTTTACGAATTTTCCAGTGATGTTCCTTGTCTATAAGGGATATATAAATGGACCTGAAATGAATAATTATTCATGAAATATTAGCGAAAATTTATATTTATATAAAATATAAATATATATATATATATACATGAAATATACTCATTGATAAGTATGTATTTATTATTAGATATTAGATTATTATTAGATATATTATTAGATTATAAAAATATTATATATATATATATATATATATATATATATATATATTACTACATTATTAGATATTAGATATTAGATATATATATATTATTAGATTATTAGATAGTAGGAATATATATTTTTAGATTATTTGATATATATATATATATATATATATATATATATATATATATATATATATTAGATATTATATATATATATATATATATTACTAGATTATTAGATAGTAGATATATATATTATTAGATTATTTGATATATATATATTAGATTATTAGATATTATATACATATGTGTATATATATATATATATATATATATATATATATATATATATCAAATACGTGGTGCAGTTCAATTTATATGACATGAATCATTCATACAAAAAGTAGATTTTAAAGTTAATGATATAAATGGCGTAAAACTTCTTCGCAAACAAATTTTTAAAGTTGCATTAACCTACGAAACACACGATGAATGTTATGATGCTTGTTTTTAGTAGCTTCAAGTTGTATAAGGTCTTTTTTTAATATGCAAGTACTTTCAACTGTACATTCAGTCATCCTCAGGCATGGAAATTATTTAGTTTTTAGTAGACCCAGGTAATAACGGACATGAAAAATGAAATGCTAATCGAAATGTTTTTTTTTTCTTTTTTAGAAATGTGTTATTGTTAACGGATAAGAACATATGGAGCGTGCATTCCCAACGCTGTGTCTGTGTGTGTCTGTGTGTGTCTGTGTGTGTGTATAGCGTGTATTTACACGCTGATATATATTTTATATCTCAGAAAATAAACTTGATAAGTCCTGGGACGAAACCGTTTTTTCTTTCTTAGCTTTTTTAAAAATGCCATATAAATTTTGCTTTTTCCTAACTATCGCTAAATTTTTTTACCATAAAAAATATATATATATATATATATATATATAATATATATATATATATATATATATATATATATATATATATATATATATATATATATTTTTATATCAATGAGTATATTTAATATATATATATAAATAAGTTTTATATATATATATATATATGTCCAAGTATATGTTGTTGTATACGAAATAAATTCCAGTAATGTTTCAATACCTCTGGTGTCTTATGAAGTGATAAATAAATAAGTAAATAAATAAATAATAATAATAATAATGATATATATATATATATATATATATATATATATATATATATATATATATATATAAAAGTGAACATAAAATCAACACTTAGAAGCGACAGTCTGTTTCATGTGGCCTCGTCGGCCGCATATATAGATTGCATATAGCATGAAACAGACTGTCGCCTCTAACTGTTGACTTCTATGTTCACTTTTTATATATTTACACGCTCTATCTCTGATATTGAGCACTTTATTCCATAAATATAGCATACCGTAAGAATATATTTCTTTTACATATATATATATATATATATATATATATATATATATATATATATAATTATTTATTCGAAAATTATAACATATGTTATAAATTATAAAATTATAACATATGTTATGAAATTACTACAAAAATACCCATTTTGTTTCAACACCTCTGGTGTTTTATCAAGTGATGATGTTGAATGTAGCACTCTTTTATATATATATATATATATATATATATATATATAGGGGGACTGAAAAGTAACTCCTTATTTCATGTATGGTCGATTCTGCAGTCTAACTATAATTTTTACAAGACGGGAGAGGGCATCACACATAAAATAGGGAGTTACTTTCCAGTCACACTGTATATACGAATCTACTAGTATAAGACACCAATCCACCTTCGAAAGCCGATGTACTAACGATGTGGGCGGGGCGACTATTCTGATGTCATGGTTCTTCATAGTTGGGATAAGAATGATCTTGAGCAGAAAATCAACGATTAAGAGATAGGTCCCAAGATAAACTTTTCCAAAATAGAAGCTATGATCTGGAATTGGAATGAAAGCAATGATGGCACCTACCCTGAATCTATCATAAAAATATTCTGGATGTGGAACTACTAAATACCAACCTCTTCAGATATCTCGAAGTATCCGTTATAACAAATTTAGTATCGGACTAATGGAAATTTAATATATAAAGTACAGTGTGTTTGTTTCTGCGTGTGTGTGTCCAAGGAACTCCTCTACTCCCAATAGTCCGATGTCAATGATTCATAGCTCATTCAAAACCCTTAGAAAAGGAGCGATTTTCGTTGAGCCCAGATCCAGGGTTGCCAGATTGTCTGAGGTTAAAAAATATCTATTAATATATTATACTAGCCATTATATTTACTTTCATGCTTCAAGGGGAGTAACTCTTTTAATGAGACCACACTCCCTCGTTCAGATTGTTTTCTTAAAAGCTCATATTTGCCCCCACTATTTGTAAAGTTAAGGCAATATTTGTATGTATGAAATGGACTAAGTCCAACAATTATTTTAATATATTTATTGTTTATACTTGTATACGGGGAGTAACTCTTATTTTTCTTTTTTTATCCAAAATTTCAGTGCATCATTTAAGCTACTCCTGTGGAGGACTCTTGGTTCTGTCATTATCAAAATAGATGCGGAGGAGTTGATGCGATATGTATCAATAAACTACAGAAGAACTCAAAATTGATCGCTGCATTTGAGTATTGAATTAATGTTTAAGCTTACCTTTAAAAAGTTCATTGATGATTCTTCTGCTGTCACTTAAAGATGATTTGATGTATGTAGATCCTTATTTTCTGTACAAACAATTATGTTTATTTCATGGGTGACAGAAAAGGAGAACATTTTATAAAATATAATTAATATATTGTAAAGATGGGAAAATAGAAATTAGAATTAGTAATGCATTCAACATTTATAGAGTTAAAGAAATATAATTGCTAATTAAGTAAAACCCATATTATAGAATCTATATGAGTGAATGCGAAATTGGGGCAAAAATATCCAGCTGGGGTTAAATATACCCAACTCTATAGTAATTTATACAAGTGTGGGAGGTAACGCAACAACTCAACTGATGATAGCAGGTAGGAACAAAGCAACCGGTGTCGCACGTCCAACCTTCTCACGAGCCGAAAGCTATCTGATTCGAAACAGCAAAACGAGCCTGCTTTATAC